AGATGGTAAACAATGTACTATTGAGTACATGTACTTATAAGTAAAACTGTACACAACTTATTCACACACAACAGCTAGCAAAGGATTCCAAGTTGTTCAAAACTTTTATGAGCAAAAGTCATTCGTTTGATAAAAAACTGATGTGAATGATTTTTCGAGTTCAAACCATACAGACTTATAAAATACAAACTGCGTCATATTGTTGGGATATGTATTAAATTCATCCTTAATGCGTCGCATTCGCTGTGACTTTCTGCCATTTTTATTTTGTAGTGTAACATTTTACTCATATCTTATGTAGATTATGACATACTTGAAGCAAAAGCAATTTTTCTTAGGAATAAAATAATTCTATAGAACTGGCATTAAAATGAAGGAACCTGTAATATCCTGAGTAGTTTCTTACTAGTTTCCTACCATTAAAAGTATATCATCTCTTTATGGCCATTTGTCTTTGTATTTGCTTAAAAATATAGCCTTCTAATTTAGAGTTTGAAGGATCATGCTTAGGCTGAATTCACCTTATTATCACTGTTAGGCTTTCTTCCAAATTCTAAGAACAGACAAAAATATCCAATTAAAGCCAAAACTCAACAATTTTGGAATACATAACATTAAAGTATACGTACTTAAGATGGAAAACAATGTATTATTGAGTGCATATAATTATAAATAAAAACTGTACACCACTTACAGGTCCAATAATAAATAATTTGACCCATAATTTATCAAGAACCACGATAATGGTTCATAATAGGGATCGCAAGAATTAGCACAAAACCCTAATAGAATGTTCGAGCAAAAAGCACGCAAGGAAAATAACATCCACTCAAGACGGCCCGTTTGTAATTCTTCTTCTTATTCTCTTGCTAGCTTACAACGAAACGGCTTGGTATATTGCACCCAAAACTTTTGTAGAATACTAAATAAGGTATTACGAAGATCGTATGGGGTATTGAAAAGTGGGTTTGTTTGTTTTATATTTTACATAAGCTAAAAAACGTAACTCTAGAGTAAACGAGGCTATCATTACCTCTTGAAGCTAGCTTTTTTTTATAAATATCTGGTGTTCCTTT